TTTTTCCACGCTTCTCCCCTAGGTCATTCCCCGCACCCTTGCACCTTTCTAGACACTTAACATAATATAAACAAAGCAGATGCTTTCGACGCATTCAAATGAAGACCATTATCGTTAATATTTATTACCTCATCATAGTCGGAGGTGTCGGTAACATATCATTTCAGATATCACAAGTCACTTTAAAAAATAAAACTAGCTTCCTTCGTGTATTGATTTGTAACGTATGTTGGCCACACTTTTTTGCTTAGTCAACACACATGATTGACAGTAGCATGTGTAACGGTGTAAATAGAAAATAAAACGGTTCTGAAAAACATACGTCTTTTTAATCGCTCATTAACTTTTTATTCAATGCAAGTGGCAAATACGGTCAACAGGTTGATATCTATGTAGGATACGAAAGAGATATTATAATAGCACTATAACGATAAACGTGAAAACATCTCATCTTAGAAGATTTCGAAGTATCGCCCCGTAACATTTCATTTTTACTACATGGGCAGTACGTAAACTATTCGACATGGGCAACAATGTCAGGGTAATATTAAAGTCACTTACTTGGTGACGAAACGACAACGAGTTATCCTCCTTTGGCAAGCGTTAAGGGCGATATGATCGGATTGTCTGGGCCAACACCTATTTTTAGAAAAAGACTTATGAGTATCTCCCGTATTCAACTGACTCATGACATCACATGCACAAATCTACTAATTACTATTACATTAATGTACGCCAAATACTACTACGGATTCGTCATCGACTGAATCACGGGATCGTCACACAGACTAATCCTGACCGTCACACAGAATGATCATTAAGTCGTCACACAGACTGACTAGGAGTCGTCACACAGACTAACTCGGAGTTGTGACACAGACTAACTCTAACTCTTTGGTCGCTAGGTGTATAGTCAGACGTGTCGAGTTTAACGATTGTTACCAAAAGACAGTGCAGGAACCGGGTTATCACGCTGGCCAAGGGCCGTTGTGTCAATACCCCAAATCTCCGATGTTACCCCTGAATCAGAGGTAACCGAGCAATATGACTATCATTAAAGTAACAATCCCTTCAGACATCCTGCCATGAGATACATTCAAACTCCAGTGATTGCCAAGAGAAGATAGTTAAGCGGTCATTCAGACCAAGGACGCCACTTCGGCCAAAGGCCACCGTGTCAACATCCAAAGCGCTCCGACATTTCCCCTGGTAGAGGAAACCGAGCAGTAAGTAACATAACTATCTCAACCCAGCTCGGGCTCGGAAAGTCCCATAACAACCGCCAGAACCTGGAGGCGTCCCACCTGCGAATATTCAATAACAAGTCGTAAGCCATAAGTTAAATTATGAAGGTAAAAAGTATAGAATCTTTATAAACATGGCTTAAGACATTCATGATCATGAATATAAAAGTATTATGGTTATCAATCCATGCAGTATAGTAGAATAAAGGAAACACTCAGGGATTGCTCACCTTTCAGGTAACCAAAACACTACACCCAATAAATAGCACATCAACACTGTAATCAAGTCCAGAAAGCGCACTACTTGGTCTGAGAAGCGATCTCCTCCACGCAATAATTGAACTGCATTGCCATCCGCGCCCGTATCTTTAAGAAAGTTTATCCTGGAACAAGTACCCAGAGAAGCAATGGAATGTATAATATAAATAGACGTAAGGGCCGTCGTGCTTAGTGTCACTAAGCAGCCTTGTGAACCTTCTGGAAAGATTTTGTGTGCTACAGGGTTGAACTCGCATGCAAAAATGTTGAGATATTTCGTAAGCTTACATCTTTGTTCTCATAAACGCTTAGCGCGTACAATGCAAATAACCTCATGTTTGATTCTCGCTTTGAAGTCGTTTTTGGGCACACATTGATCCCCAAGGCCAAAATTCGACGTTTATCTCACTATTGAAGTTGAGATAATTTTTTTAAAGTGGTTTATTTTGTAGATCCGAGGATTTCTGTAACTAAAGTTTTGATTTTTGTCCGCACCACTTCAAGGAATTATCGAAAACAGTGTTAAGGTTTTGTTTTTTCGCATAATTATTGTAGTGTAAAAGTAAATCTACTCGACTGTAGCTTTATCAGAAAATAACTGAATGTCTGAGGCAGGTTTCTCGCATGGTAACTGTTACTTGAATAATATTCATGGAATAACGATGCACATACTTTTCTGCTCCGGATATATCGCGGTACAAAAGATAACAAGTATGAAAAATTTGAAAACCGTAAGACACAGGCTATTAACGGTAGAAAATGTCGAGAACATGCTAGAAGAATAAATCATTCGTCATAAAGTACCTTCATAATGTCATATACATATAGAGGCGTTTCAAGAAATGCTAATCATTCATTTTTAGCGATATTTTATCTTGGCAAGTATAATGACAATATTGAAAAACAAACTTTATGTGATCGTTGTGTTTTAATACTTTCTTTTCGTTGTACGTAACGTCGTATATTAGCCTTCAGTAATCCTGAGTGAAACACTCAACTTTAAGCTTTCCTATTTGGCTCTTGTGTAGCATTTGAAAGCAAGAATGATTGTCATTTACGATTAAGTGATTTTGTGATAACTGTTTCAGAAGGTACATCCGGGAACCGAATTCCGCCACGCTCGAGGGATGACAAAAAAGGCACTAGTGCAGATACCAGCGGCACTAACAAACAAAAAGAAGAAACAATGGATGTGAAAAGTTCTGCCGCCGATGATGTTTACGAATTTAAATCGGTGGGTTGAAAATTGATTTAGGATATAGAGACTGAAACGCTTATGACGTGATGAATTTTGGCAATCACATATACCGCATACGTAAACGCTAACGTTAACCCTATCATACATGAATAATAAATTTAAACGTGATGTAAGATTAACGTTTACCGTATTTGTGAATGCCAAAACTCTTGTTGCATCTATAACGGGTATTTCAATCATTCAGTTTTCTCTGCTAATATCACGAAAATCCTATCTTTCTCAAAAATATTATTCTTTCATGGACAAGTTACTGAAATATTTTCAAAGTTTATTTAGACACTTAAAGATATTAGGGCTATTTGCTGACTCCTCGTATTATCATCTGAAACATGACTTCTAGCGGAAGTACAGGCTAGTAATGGTCCTTTTTCTAAAAATTTTCAGGATGCTGCATCTGGTAATACTTCTCCAGACTTGAAGCAGTCGGGAGCTGCTGGTGGATCTGCAACTGAAGCTGAAGCAGGCAGTGCTGATTCTTCTGTTGGAACTACTGCCACTCAGGGTGGCGATGATTCGACCAATCAAAGCGGCACGACAAAAAGGTAAGCGGAGAAAAATGGCTAGAAAGTGACCACATTTAAAGCGAAGGGGTCCTACGCGTAAGAGATTTTTTTCGCAGAAGCTAATAATATTTTACACGGGTCGGAGAGGTTCCTCACAAATTTTGAGCCACTCACACACTAATCGATGCTTAAGCCTTTGTCAAACCGTACTCAAAAGAGGAGTTTTTGCAATATGAACAGAACTTTTGTCATAGGGTTTATAGAGAATTTTTTTTGTAATTGTCTGATTTAATTCCTTTTACTTTCCCTAGCCACTATGTCTGTCTGTCCGCTAGTCCTTGACCCCTCTATAACTTGGAAAGTAGTTAATTATATACATGTATAATATAAAACAACAGTTAGTGGCGGCGGATCTACGGGTAGCACGTTTCAACAAAATGTTTTGAGGGTTAAATAGTTGGAGGTGGGAGGTTGTAGCTGGGGATGGGTCTGGTTGTACGACGTACCTCAATTTTTTGGCTGTAGTAGATTTATACTCTTCTAATCCCGGTAAAATGTTCCTACTGTTAAACAATAATTACTCATTGACAAGTGTGTATTACAATTATGTATTATCCTCACACGTTTTTGAAGGGCGAAGGATTGCAGATTTCCTCATGGGGACTCAAATTTTAAAAATCTTCAATATGGCATAAAAACCATGGAAAATGTGCAAATTTTAGGAGACAGCCAGATTCTCAGGGTGGAAGTTAGGGCCTAAGGACTAGATACTAATTGTATGGGCTTATTTGACTGACTTGACCTATTTAATTCTTTTTTTATACGTCTTTCTAACGGGACAAACTTATGGGAACATAATTCTTTATGAACTGATGACAAAGTTGCATGGGAAATACTGGAGTCAACCTACTTCGTGCTATTTTTTTCAGGACGTTTGCAGAAATAAGTGGAGACAACAATGAGGAGTTAAGTGGCACCGCAGGTCAAAATACTCCAGCTCCATCTAGTTCCGGGAATGACGAGGAGTCCAAGAGGAAGAAACGTAAAGATGAAACTGCAAAAGAAGGAAAATCTGGAACCCAACGTAGTACAGGTACGGCTCAAAAACCTAAAAAAAAACTTGTTATTGAAAATTGGTTATCTGTAGTAATTGATTTCAGATTCAAAAGTTTCCTGGTAATCATTGATTGTAATGACTTTTTAGGTCAAGGTAAAGGTCAAAATAGCAAGCAGTCATCTGCTGCTCAAAATAAGTCGGGATCGTCGGGTTCGTTGAAAAGTAATGCTGATAAGAAGAGTCCGTGTTCTAGTCCAAAACCGGTATCAGATGCAGAAACCGAGGATGGAAAAACTGATCTCAAGGTAAGCATGATTTTAGCAATATTGAAAATATGTTACTTTATTTTTCAAATCGACATGGTTGGCGGGCAATAACTAAGATCTCAGACCATTTGTGATTAAGTGCAGTCAGGCTTCAACCATTAATAAGACTTATCTCCTCCCTAGCTCTTATCATTCCAAAATCAGCTGTATTCAAAGTAGATACTCCAAGAAACTTGTAGTCACTTGAAATTTTGAATATTCCTCTATTCATAGATGTTTGGAAATAACCATGCAGCACCTGAAGCTTTGTCTCGCAGACTAATCTGAATGAATCCATAGATGGAAATTGATAAACATGTCTTTACATTGGTGGCGAAAACGTTAGTCATTTTTTCAATATACATCTGTGGTTCCATTAAACAACCTGGATAATAAGATTATTTTCTATTTTTGCGTGATAAGTACTGTCGATCTTCTTATCACCATATCTTATAATATGAAATGTTTGATTCTAAGGTGCCTCCATTGAAAATTGTAATTCCTCAAACTACGAGCAGTGAACAAGAAGGCACAACGGGTCGCAATAGCAAGAGCAGCTCACAAAGGTCGCAGCATGCGTTGCCGTACGTTGTTGCCAGTTCTGGAGGAGGTAATGGTGACTCAAGCGATAAGGACCAATCAGCAACGTTTACATCCGAGGGTGCCACCACCGGTGCTTCGAAAAGCAATGAGGAAAAGAAAGAAGCTTCGGGCACTTCAGACGAGGTAAATAAATGGACTTTTGTCTAAAACCTGTTGAAGGATATTAAGTGAAAACACTCAGTAGCTAATTAAGATGTTTATTAATTATAAAGGTCTTGGAAGCTGTGAAATTAAATCACAGAATTGACTTGATAGTTCACTAATGTTTTGGCCACCTCGGAGGCCTTTCACAAAGTATATCAAAGATGACAATGACAGTATCTCATATTTTTCATGGAAGCCATTGAAATGAACCAAAAAGTTTTCTTAAAAACTCCGTAGTTAGATCTAAAAAAAAAACTCAGTTAATCCCGACAAATTATTATGTCATTGTGTCTAGTTACATACTGAACAGATCTGGTCCACTGTAATTGAACGTTCTGGTCTGTCAGAAACTCATTGTTGGAACTAGTCTAATGACTGCTGAAACTTGATTATCAATCTACAATATCAAGATAGTATCTAGAGAGGCAGTATCAGAATTACTTGTGTTTATACAAAATGCTGTTAGGAGGTGAAGCCAACGATGGCACATTCCTATTATGATGACACAAGTCTGAGTTAAGTTTCGCAGTATGCATTAGTGTAAGAGTAGCAGCATGCTAAACTTCGCCATATAAGTCTGACATTTGGCTATACTACAATGTAATTGTGGATAAATAAAGACGTCTATTATTATTATTAGTAGCAATCAATGAAAAAGCCTTATTCAGGTCCTGCATATTGTCTTTACAATATACTAACCTGTAAACCATTGTGACGCGCGTCTTCTAGCGTTGGTTGTTAATAAATGAGATGCAGAACTATTTTCACCAAAACATAGACAATTCTAGTATATTTGATTATATGGTATAAATGTCAAACCGCAAAAGCACAAATATCATAAAAATTTTACCCCTCAGCAAAAATGTATCAGTTATTAATAGTAACTTCGGAAACTTAACTTACTGGAAAGCCTGGGATGACTTTTTGGGTGACCCTCGACCTTCTGTAACTACGGCAGCTTGCTAGGAGCCTGATGTACGACTAGGTGTTGACAAGCCCGACCTCAAATAGGGTTGCTCAAATAGATCAGGACCTCAATTAGCCGCTTGGCTGAAAAACGAGGTCCTAATCAGGATCGACGCAGGCACAATATAAAACCCCCTCTCAGGCATGTCCCTGAAGGCAAAAATAATTACCTCATTTAGCTTCCTGCTATGTCTTGGTTTGGGGACTCAAGGTGAGCACCTGTGCATTGCTCGTGAGAGCACAATGAAAAACTGGTGTCTAGATGTCCATTCCTTCTCTTACAGGGATGCTGTTACATCGATCAGTCGAGATGTCCATTCTCGATTCAGAGCTAAAAAATTCCGTATTCCAGTCTAACTGTGGAATTTTGAAGTAATCTTGCCGTTGCAACGTTATGCCTGACGATTTTTTGGTATCCATAGCGAATCGCCTACAACGCATCATCAGGGCCAAAAGTTTATTTACACCAACAGACACAAAATAACGATGAAAAAAGCATACAAAAACTATTATCAGGAAAACACAGCGTAGTTCTGCAAAACATAAACGCATGCCACTGTGATAGATTTGTACGTTAACAATCAGAGGGGTTTAAGTAAAGGGTGTCTCAATAAAAGCGCCGCATTTGATTTTCAAGAAAAACACAATTTCTTTTCGAATTAAGCGAGTATTTATATTTCAACCTGAAGAGCAATAATTGCGATTAAACATGAAATATCACATCCGGTAAATGGCCACCACGAAACCTCTGGCACAGAGTTAGTCTTTAATTAAATTTCTGGATAACGTTTTCGTCGATAACGCGCCGTATCTCGCACGATGATGCTGGCCAATTTTAATCGCCAAACCGAGAGATGACAGGGTCTGGAAACCGCAGTAACACTATTGCTTTGCATGCTGTGTGGCAGGTAGCTCCGTCTTGTTAGAAGAAAATATCCTCCACGTCAATTCGATCCAACTGGGACCACAAAAACTCGGTTAACATTTTGCGATACCGCACACCATTAACAGTTACCGCAGTTCCATCTGCATTTTCGAAGAAATACGGTCCAATCACTCCGCTAGTCCACAATGCGCACCAAACGATAATCGCGACGGATGCATAGTTTGTTCGATTATAACACGAGAGTTTTCAGATCCCCAAATTCTGCTTATTGACGTACCCGTTTAGTTGAAAATGTGCCTCATCAGAGAAAATGATTTTCTTCGAGAAATCCGCATCAATTAGTGGCCACGATGCCGAATGGAAGTGCCTGGATTCTCGGCCACACCTTCGCGCACTGCGACTATTTTTTCGAGTGACCGACCAGGACGACGACGAACAGTGGTTTTCACATTCATTAACATGAATTTTGTCTCAAAATTTGTAATTAAACGTCGAACTGTCGACGCATTTGGCGCATTATTGCGACCGAAAATTGTACGTAGTTTGTGAACTATTCCGCGAAATTTTCTCCATTTTTCTAGTGAGTTTTACAATAATTAAACGTTGCTTGTTTGATTACTGCTGCATGAAGTCTAATCGCGCGATCTGGACATGATGACAGCTGTCATCAAGTAAACACCTTACCGTTTGTACAAACAAATGGCGGCAAATTCAAATCCGGCGTCTTGTTGAGACACCCTTTAGTATACATGGCCCTATACCGTATTTTGAGCGCCATCTGAAGAAAGCGATTTATACTAACCGAACAAAAAATGCATAGTGGTATCGCTGTTTTAAACGTCAAGATTATTATTGCTAATTGCAAAGAGTCGGTCGAAAAAAATCCAGGACAAATTTGTTTAAAAAAACAGAAATTTGTAGTTGTTTAGTATATGTGAAAGTCGTGAAATAGTATCAGGCAAGACTTGTGTAAAAAAATCAGAGGATACGCTGATATTTCGTGCATAGTTGAATTGTGTGCAGCGCGGGAGAGATACATTCACAACAGTAAAAGATTTTATTTGAATGTGCATTGATGTGTTTTTATGGGATATACAGTAAAGGACAAAGTATATATTGATGAATCTTATATCAAGAAACTTCTACAATCTACGCCGAGACGATGCCAGGCGGTGATTGATAATAATGGTTATGCTACAAAATATTAACACAAACATGATTGGTTTTCTATAATTCAATAAACTTTACTTCTTTTTTCTATAACTGTTTTGCTTTGTCTATATATTTTTGTCCTTCATAGTTCCAGTTTTTTCAATTAATTTTTTATTGAAGGGAGTCTAATGAACTTATTTATGTATAAGTGAGTATTATGTATACAGGTTAGTGTATTAATAAAACAGGTTAAAAAGAAATACAGCACAATATTAATTTGTCTATATACTTTTGTCCATTACTGTAAATAATCTGCTGTGTTAAAAAAAAATATTTTAATTTTGGGATGTTTCTGCCACTTTTTAGATTCCCAAAATCAAACTCTATCACCCATTTTTCTTGTTTCAGAGGCTTAAGAATAGCGTCATAAGCCTCTGTCAAAAATTCAAAAGTAATTAAAAGCAATAAGGTCGGCGAGCACCAATCAAGTGGATTCAAAACTATGTTGTTCGAAATAAAAAATTCGTTCGGAAATTGGTTTCATACACGGATGTATTAGAACTGTTGATATATTTTCAGCAACATACTAATTTAGTTTTCAATCCCCTCTGTTGGTACCCGCCGCCCTATGAGTGTCAGAAGGTAGTGCTGCTAAAAATCTTGGCCTGACCCCGTGACCAAATCTCCTAGAAGAAAAAAATAGTGATCTGTAAACTTTGTTCGTAGCCTCAATCCCACACGGAAACGGATCCCCAACAACCATCGACCACCTCGACAACATCCACAGCTTCCACAACGACGTCATCCACGTCAACTTCCGCCTCGACCTCTGTGTCGACGACGTCCCCCGCCACCACTTCCGCAACGACATCCTCTTCATCAGCGTCCGCCCCCGCAGCTGCCCCCGTCGAGTTGCATCCGCGCAAGCGCAAAATGAAACAGAACAAAGAGCAGGCGAACGCTGCAGCGACTGGAAGCGGGAGTGCCGCAGGGAGCGCTTCGCAAGCCGAGCAGCCTGAACCCCCTCAAGAGGTGCAGATACATCCGCACGACCAGCCGATCACGAATTGCTATCAGCTGTTTTTGAACATTAGGAAGCAGGTAAGTGGTGATAGTTGGTTGAATGAATATTTTACTCAGATTTTTAAAAATATTTCTATCCGCGTGTGCTAATCCCAACTAACAATTATCACTCCTATTAGAGTTGCAAGAATGATTATACAGTATTCCTTACACAGCATTGTATACTGTAAGAACATTGGCAAAACCCTCTTAGAATAGCTATTCAGTCATTTAAGAGGTTGTATAAGGGCTGCAGGTAACAGTTATACAACAAAAGTGTAAGCCTCTTGCAGCCGCTATAGGACATTTGCGTCAGTGCAAGATTCAGTTTTTGTCAACTATACAACTATTCTGTTACGTGATTCTATTTGCAACCAAAACTATTTCTTATGTATTGCATAGACGAAGTGAAGAATATATAACTAACAGATTACAGTCATCTTGTTTACTTAAATATCGGCCATTGTGAATTTCATACACAGGTATATGTTAAACTTCTACACTGTGATACAGGGCTATTGAATTACTTGCGCAGCAAATTTTATTGTGATTATCGTGCAAAGTAGTTATGCAATTTCTACGGGCTTCTTATTTGATGCATATTTTGATAATGATCAAAAGTATGTCCAGATTTCTAAGATGGAAAACTGAACTTATCTGCGTCAAATCTTCCACAAATCCTATACTTAGACACAATTACACTAATGTTTATCACTATATCTGTAATTTCGAACTGAAATATAATTATTTAATACTAAATAGAGGAATAAATGTTTGCCCAATATGGCTGGCGGTTGTGTATAATCATGGCATCGTCCATGTTGTCTTCAGTTTATTAGAATATTTTGGTGTTGCCTGCAGGTGTTATACAGCAATTTGACAGATGTCTGAAATGAAATACCGACAGTGTCGAATGATTTACCCAGAATTTGTACCAGATCTATATCTTCTGTTTGAACAGTTGATAAAACCTTTTGAACCACAATATGCATGCGTTGTTTGTCTTAAATCATTCGTTATGGCATTTTAACAAAAATATGACAGCAGAAGTTAGGTTATGGTGTACCGACATATTTAGCATATGTACAGCCTTTAACAGTTACTAAACAACAGTTGTATAAGTGCTTCCGTTGGGAGCAACTTGTTGGCTAAAGTAGTAATATGCACAGCAAAACAACAAGGCTCGGGTTTGTTTTATAAACGTTACCATGGATGCCACAACACAATCATTTTGACCAACGTGCAAATATGCCGTATAAAATAGTTGTATAAACGTTTATGCAACAGTTAAAAATTTGTCCTATAAGGTGTTGTATAACTATGCTTAAGAATATTTTAAACACCTCATTTTAGAGCAAATATGTTGCAGAAAGCAAATTTGCATTCCACACAACATTAAGCCAGCATTTTGGTGTTCAGGCAACAACAAGCTTTCATGGCTGAACGGTTCTTTTACCAAAAGCTTATAGCACTACTTTGCTAGTTGGGATCAGACTGTTCAAAAGTGGAGTGTGGTTCAGTGGTCTTAAACTGGATCCCGTTGGACTGTTCACATTAACTCACCAAGATGACAATTTCATAATTTACTTATGAATTTGGCTATAGCTCAAGATATTCCACCAGGAAATATCTAGCCCAATTGAAAGTATACGTACTGCAGTTCAGTCAAAAGAACAATTGATTCTGTTTTAATTGCCACGCCAATGGCGAGGAAATATTGTAATTGCTAAAATTTCGAAAATAAGATATCATCTCTTATGTTACATGACATGTACATCACAAAAAAAAACATGTCACTCATCATAACTTGGAAAGTATCCCTCAGATTTTGATGACATTTTCATACAAGCTTGCTAGTAGTAGTAGTAGTTTTGGAAAAATTGTGAAAAGAAAAATCTCTTAAACTATGTTTATTGACGTTTCAGATGCCCTTGATCATTTTCATCAAGGGCATTTTCAGAAAAAAAAATATAGGTAATGGATAATAGATATTGGGGATTAGGAGTTGTAGGGGTCGTGGGGGGTAGATCTTCATTTGTAGGCGTTAGTATATTCATAATCTAGTTCTAACCCATGTAATTCTACGCTCTTATTAGACATATTTCACGTATAGATATCTTCGCACCCAGCGCAACGAAAATCATTATCACCGCGCACTATAAAGATCTCCACCGCGACTGTATGAACGCGATTAACTTTAAAACTACCCAACGGATGTTCATACAGTTTTCACCATTGGACACAGAAATTAATGGAGAATGTGTAGGTTTGTATAATTCATCAGTGTTTTGTGTAAATTGAAATGGTACGGAATTGTAACCCACGGTATCAAAAATGAGACTTTAAAAGTCGTTATTTGTCGTACGCTGCGAAACCTTGTGATGATACGTGAAACTACTAAGTACTGTTTATAGTACTTATTACGATTTGCAAAAAAGTTCCTGAGGCTATATACCTGATTATTATACTAAAGTCACCATAACAGATTTTTTCAAATTAGTTAACCGCGTGTAAGTAAACACGTAACGGTATTCAGCGTTTGGACAAAATAAAAGCTTGGTGGTGGCCAAGTGAAACAGTCGCTGTTTCTTACGCGGTAAATTGATGTTCGATCTCCGACCGGAGATAACTTTTTTGTGTTCTTAAACGTAATATGTTCCTTTTTACAAATCATCTACAGAAGACTTCAATGTAGTATATTCAGATATGTATGTTTAAATATTTAGTCTATATTTATTCTAATATTTGCAAAACTGGAAATAAAATACTTGAAAACTAATCCAACTACTATCTTAATCTAATTCAGATGCGCAACTCAACAGCATGATAGATACGGCAGTTACTCGTGCGAAGCTAGTAGAAGATAAACTTAACTTTTTAGATTGCAATATTATTAAATGGGTGAGGTCCAGTTGTATGGGCCTATTTAAATGACTTGATCCATTTAATTCCTTTGTTATTCATGACCGTAGTTTTTTTGAGAGGGACCAACTTGTGCAATATATGATCCTTTATAACCTGATGAAAACGTTGCGCGGGAAGTGCATAGTTAGCCTACTTGACGCCATTTTTATCACTTCTAAGAGTATTACTGTGATCGTACTTGGAAGCAGGGCTGTAACGGGGATAATTCTAAACGAACAACCAAATGCAGCAGGTCCACTATGTTGGATATCTTTTTGGAGGATTAATCAGTATTTTCTCCTAGCTGAGTAGAGCTAATTTCCTACTTCTCATTATATGGCGGCCGAACAGCATGCGTCGAATTTGTCTGATGCTGTAGCCTTATCTTAGTCCAAGTATATTCAGATTTAAGTGCTACCTAACAGAAGAAGCTACCGAATTTAACCAGACCAAAGGTCTTGTGAATAAAATCTCTTCATCTTTTATTTGTAAAGGGTGTTCAGATAAGGACGCTCGAAAGTTAAAATGGAAAAAAAAGGAAAAAAATTTAAGTCAGCACTAAAAGTCTATATTGATCGTAAATAGCATTCGACGACATTATGTATGGAAGATTATATCGTTTAAATGGCCACCGCGACTGTGCTGTACAGCGTACATTCGCATGGTCCAATTTTCGAGCACTTTTCCGCACATTTCAGCGTTTACCTGTCCGAGGACGCGAATGATGTTGGCCCTTAATGCTGCAATTGTTTGTGGCTTATCCGCATACACTTGAGACTTCACGTAGCCCCACAGGAAAAAGTCTAAAGGCGTTATATCGCACGATCTTGGTGGCCAGTGCACATCGCCGCCGCGCGAAATAATGAAACCGTTGAACTTTTCATGCAGTAAATCCAGCGTTGCGCGTGCGGTGTGGCACGTAGCGCCGTCCTGCTGGAACCAGATGTCTGTTAGATCCATATCGTCTAGTTGAGGCCACAGGAAATCATTAATCATGGCGCGATACCGATCTCCATTGACCGTAAGCGCGTAGCCCATAGCGTCCTCAAAAAAATATGGACCGATTACGCCGCCAGCCCAGAAACCGCACCATACAGTCACTTTAGCAGGATGCATAGCAATTGAGCAAGTCACTTCAGGATTTTGGTCAGCCCATATACGGCAATTCTGTTTATTGACATACCCATTCATCCAGAAATGCGCCTCGTCGCTGAAGATGATTTTTCGTGCAAATGCAGGGTCGACTTGCAACTGCTCTAGAGCCCATGCGGCAAATGTACGGCGCTGTCTCTCAAATTTATTGAGCAGACGTCGAATAGTGGACTCAGCAGGATGGCCATGCGCACCATAAATTGGACGCAATGCGCGGAACGTTTCACGAACCGAACATCTGTTTTGATGATAAATTTTCACAATTTCCACGCGTTGTTGAATCGTGTACTGCTCCATGATTAAATGTCAAGACTAACTTAATAACCTCACAAAATTTGACAGCTGTATCCCCACCGGTTTGGGCGCACGCGCCGTTCAAACATCGAGCGTCCCTATCGGAACACCCTTTAGTATACAATACTGCGATCTGCGGCTGCTTCAGTTTAAAAAAAAGATCTAAAAATGAGCATAACTATGTTAGTCAGGGGATTCTTTTCTGAACTGATTGAATGTAGTGCGCTGTTTGAATATGGTATTTTTGAATAAAGAGAATACATGGAATCGAAAACTAAAAAACATTTTGAAATCTCTAGAGTATTGCATTATCAAAGTCACACCGCCTACCACGCTTCTTAGCGATTTTGGAGTTGGCAGTCTTCTTATCTATCGAATTATTTATTTTTCAGATTGCCAAGAGGAGACGTGGATTGTTCCCTGTTCAACCAAAACCCCCGCAAGGTTTCAAAGACTACCTCATGAACCGTTGTACGTACGTATTAGCTGGTTCGCGCCCCACTACTCCAAACATCAATTATCCACAAAATTTGCCCCCACCAATAAAGGATCTCTTTACCGAGCAAGAAAAAGAGCGGTATAGGTTGAGGACACAAGTAAGTTCTTCTGCAATCAGTCACAATTGGTTCTTTCCAACAATCAATGTCTGATAGTATCTAACGGTCATTTCAGCGCGTAGCCAGGCAACATCATTGCATTAATATTTATGGTTGGGTGTATTTGACAGTCTCTGAAAAGTTTCAAACGAAAGTTGTGGGATTCCGAGGAGGCAAAATGATGGTGACATTGACAATGACCTTGACCACGACCTTTCAGGTCATTTCAAGATCAAGTGTACATATTTATATAGAACGCCTTATTTTACACTGGAATTGAAAAGAGGTTTACATTTTTAATCTGAATGTGTCCATTAGCATGGCTTTGACTATTTCCTACAAGGCTATTTCAAGGTCTAATCAAGACGTTGTAAATAATTTGCTCTAGCAAAAATGTTCGACAGCACAGTTATGTGGTCTATGGGAAACACCCAAATGTGACCTCGACCAGGATCTTCAAGGTCCAGACAAAATTTTCAAAGGGAACCTCTTATTTTCACACTGTTAATAGAAAAATCAGAGAATTTTACGTGCTATTGTGACCTTCAATTTCCCGCTTTTTCTATTTCCAGTATAAAATGAGGTTTTTTTTGACATTTTGACTTTACCTTGAAGGTCATGATCAAGGTCATATTTCGGTGATCCTGGCAGCTGTGCTGTCGGAACATTTTTACTAGAGGAAATTGTTTTCGATGTCTTTATTTGATGTTGAAATGGCCTTGAAGGCAATAATCAAGGCCATGGCCAAGGTGATATTCAGATGTAATATTTCCTCGTATTTTCAATTTCAATGTTAAAATATTAACATGATCTTAAAGGTGATGATCAACGTCACCCATAATTTTGGCCCCTTGAAAGCCTACAACTTTTGTTTAACACTTTTTCTAGAATGCGTAATTTTCAACATATTTAGTCGGATTGAAATGGGACACCATGTATAACAAATTGATCTCAAAAGTTTACTTCAAGATCATATGCATAGAAAACAATATATAATTAAATTTTAAATACCAAATATAGAGATTATGTATTACCTTTGTTATCTTTTGAAGCACCCACTTACCTACATGTGTGTTATACCTCCGAAACAAAGAATTTTGTTTGTCATCCACCATTTACAGATGTGGGCAGTGGTAAATGATATTTTTTATGTTGGTTGTAAATAGAAGAGTAGCATCACGGATGTTTATCAGGCTGTAATATGCGTATATTTTTTCAGCATGTTATTGAAAAAGAAAAGTTGGTGCTCTCAGTAGAACAAGAAATTTTGAGGGTGCATGGTAGAGCCGCTAGAGCGTTAGCAAATCAATCATTGCCGTTTTCCGTATGCACGATTTTGAGGGATGAGGAGGTTTACAACCTTATCACACCAGAACAGGAAGAAAAGGATAGGAATGCGAGATCACGCTATAATGGTATCTATTCATTTAGTTTCAAGTTTACCTAAGATTTTTTTTTTTGATAATCTGACCTTGAGCTTTATTCGTGAGTTATTCGTGATCCATACCAAATACATGAGAAGTAAACATTTTTGGTTGCAATGCGGAACTCGAAGTACATTTTTGACGAGTGTGTGGTAGTGATATTTATGTATGAGGAATAAGTCTCGGTTCAAGTAAGCACGTTATTTTAACTTTTTTGTAGAAGTTTGAATGTAGCATAGTTCTACCATAACTTTTCGGTACTGTAAAAAAATGGACGTTGAAAAGCAATGCAATACCGTGCCTTCAATTGATGAAGTTACCAAGGGCGCTGACTTTTCGCAGTATATGAATGAAGAACGAGGTTAAATATGGTAAAAAAACGAAATATTTTTATTGATCGCTACCCTATTATTTTTCTGTATAAACAGTTGATATAACGAATTATTATACTGGTGCAAAAAGTTATTGTTTAGAATCAACTTGTTTCTATAAAAAAATCCCTTTATTTGGACCCCTAAAGAAATTTTTGTTTGAAAAGCTACAGTCGCATTTGCAATGATTGAACTATTCAAAATCTTACAAATCGGATATATCGGATAATTGATTTTATCTATAATGGTATAACTTCGTTAAATTCTATTGGCAGAAACATTAAAATATAAATAACACCTATATGTTTGTATAATCTAGTCAGCTTGATGTTTTCACTTCCGCAGTGGTCGGTTCTGGTAATAGATGGCCCTATGTGGTGTCTTAATTCTATATAATATTAAATTGTTCATGTAATCGATATGGTCGATAAAAATGTTAAGCAAACAACAGGAACAATTGTCACTGAGTGACGTCATGATCAACGACGAATGAAATTCGATCGCGAAGTGAGCCTATCTTTTCGAGTTATAATGGGTTTTCCATTAAGGACTTTACAACTTTCTTTTTAAATACAACGCAATCCATTTGAGATATCTCGAAAATTTTATTATTGGATTGAAATATACTCCAAACATTTATAAATGGAATTCGACCTCGTTCATATGTCCACCACGGGCACGTTCGTAGCGATCGAATAATGGCTCTGATCTCCTCTAACGACGCCGGCTTGTCGGCATATACCAATGGTTTAATATAGCCCTACAAAAAAAGTCTAGAGGTGTTAAAGCACACGATCTAGACGGCCATTCGACAGGGCCGTTTCTCGATATAACTCGTTCACCGAATTTTTATTTCAATATGTCGATTGTTTCACCTGCTGTGTGGCTTGTGGCACCGTCTTGTTGAAACCACATATCATTAATGTCTAGCCCATCCAATTGACCAGAAAAATAACGTTGCAACATGTCCCTGTAGCGATCTCTGTTGACTGTAACATGACGATCATTTTCATTAACGAAAAAAAAAAGGCTCAATGACACCACCGGCATGAAAACCACACCATACAGTTATTTATTTTGTGGATGAAGTGGTGTTTCTTGAAGCACATGAGGGTTTTCACCTGACCAATAATGCATATGCTGTGTTTTGACGAAGCCGTTTAGTCAAAAATGCGCCTCATCACTGAAGATGATTTTACGATGAAATTGGTTATTTTCTTGCAACATTTCTAGAGTTCAATTCAAGAACGTACAATCATATGATCTTGAGTTAACCTGATCTTATAAGGGTGCAGGCCAAGATCTCTTCGCAAAATTCGCCATCGTGTGGTCTGAGCGATGCCCAATTCTTGAGAACGCAGTGGAATCGACGTGTTCTGTTCGTTTGCGACGGAAGCTTGAACGGCAGCAATATTCTCGGCACTTCGACCAACCCGTTCTCTTACTGGCACTGGAACATCCAGTAGCGAATATATGGACCTAAATTGTTTACTAGACTCCGAATTGCTTGTCTAGCGGGTCGAGAATTACGACCAAAAATTGGCGTTAACGCTCTTAAAGTTGCAGTCACCGACTCGAAATTTCGGTCGTAAATTTTAGTGTAAGCGTTATTCGTTGGTGTACTTGACCATGATGAAAATGTTTTCTTTACTGAATGTTTTGACATTGACAGTTCGTTAATTGATTTAAAGGTGCGTTCACAGTGAAAGTTCTAAGTTGTCGTCAAGTCCCTAATGCAAAACCCGATAGTATAAGTTATATTCAACAGATTTCCGTTTTGGGCTATTGTTAAAAGTTATGTTATGTCCACCTTTTCCACTCAAGAATTTATAGAATGTGTGAGAATTTATAACCAAACCGTGTAGGCATTGGGAATTTGAATTTTTTGACATTAAAATTAGGAATTGTCTTTATCTCAAATACGAGTATATCCAGAACATCTACCAACTATAGTACTCACGAAAAAATGCATTGTTTCCAGGTCGGTTATTCTTGAGCTGGCTCCAAGACGTCGACGATAAGTGGGAGAAGATCAAAGAACACATGTTGCTGAGGCATCACAACGAGGCAGAGTCCTTACATGCAGTTCAAAAAATGGACTGGGAATGGAAAATGAAGGAGCTGAGCCTGTGTGATCGCAAGTCAACTCCGAAGATTGAAGATACTCATGTGCCCATGGTTCACGTTTCAGATGATTTCGATCTGTTGCCTGCTTAAACATAAAAATTCTGGCTTGCTATCTCTCTTTCTCGATGTATAAATCAGCTAGTTTTCCTCATACTGTGAACTCGTTTAAAAAAATGAAGCTATGATAATTGTGAAGTTACATTAAGTAACTACAAGTAATGATCTCACTACTTAAAGTTACGTATGAAAGTAAATTGTTATCAGTGATATTACGATTTTTTTGTACATATGGGGTAATACCTGGAACATAGGTATTTAATATTTTTCTATATATTATTTAACTTTATATATTAATTTTTCAATAAATAGTGATATTTGGAAATACGAGTACTGTTTGATTTAATAAATGGAATTCACATATTCAAACCCTTTATTCGTATTGATGAATCTGTTCAAGTGCTTTTGTATTTCATATTGATTTTGTATCCATTCAAAAAGTGGTATCGACTCTCAATAACCAGCCTGTACATGGTAATTTCTGATTTTAAAGCCATTGGTTAGTTTATAAAAAATTAAACCATTTCCCGCAAATATATCCCATAATGGGAGTGTCCTGATGACATATATTCAAAATAAGTATACACTGTATAAAATGAGTATGCAAAAATAATAGAAGTGGCGTATATAAACCAAAGGCTTAGTATGCAGACATTCATACTGTAGGGGCAATGGAAAACGAAAAAAATCCTAACGTGGTTTTTCCAAAACGGCATGAATACAAAATTGAACGTAAGTATACACTGAAATCATATTTTTGGATGTTATATGGCAAGTACATTACGGAAAACCGTCTCACTCCCGCCTGACTTGAGAAGTAACGCTCGGATTTTGATGAAATTTTAACTCAATGTTGCTACTATATCAAGGGCGAAAAAGCTTCGTAATTTTTTAAAATCGGTCTAGTGGCCGCAGAGTGTGGTGAGGGTATATCTTAATTTTTTATGTTAGTATACATTAGTAATCCTTCGCACCTATTAGACATATTTCACACATAGATTTCTCCGTACATTAGCTCTTGAAAATATTCTTAGCAGACGGATCGCGTGCCTACCGGCCGGCACGGGTATTATGCAAAAAACCTATAAAACGTCAAAAAAAATCTATAAAATGACATCTTGCGATGTTGCAGACTAGGTAGTTTTTAGGGTGTAAACAGTCATTCCACGTTTGCTCACTAGGATCGTTGTGAGTGTCAATCTATATAGGAATGGCTCAATTACATGTCTACACGCATTGTTGGTTGCATGTGTTTTGTGAAGCCGAGTAGTCTACAGTTTTCATCCATGAGAAGAAAGTTGGATGAATAGCAAGATCGTATCTGGATAATTGTATGTATTGGTCTGCATGTGTATAAAATCAGTGATATATGCTATGTGTGAAAATCTTTACTGAATATGCTGCCAATAAAGTATATCTATTAGCTGTGCCCGACTAGGCGACGTGGTATTTATATGTTGTCCTTTCTGAAGACAGGTTATTTTCAAAGTTATAAATTACGATTTCTTACATTTTTGTGTTTTCAAAAACTTTGAGGAGAATTACGGGAAATCACAGAGCCCGCGTTGTGTGTAATTACTGTATATGACTTGTAATTCGACAGTGTACAGTGAATATAATTATTTCTTATTTCTCCCTTTTTTGAAATTCATCAAATTTGCATATGTAATTTCCAGAATGGATGAGAAAAACTGGATGCGCAACTAATTTCTAGCTTTGAATCTCAAGTAAGTGTATTTGACACAAGAATTCAAGGAACTATCATCAACACATATTATTAGTACACAAATCCTCACTATGCATTGTCGTTGCCTCCAGTGATGCCATCTCTGAAGCAGATGTTACATCACGTCAGAGCCAAAAATTGTTAACTGAAGCCTCATGACGTTTAGGCAACACGTACAACTACAAAACGACTTCACAACCTGTCCATCAGCTAGTGCTAAGTTAACATCTTGTAGGCAAACCCACATAATGTCCCAAAAAAATTGTCATAATGCCACTTCTCAAGATACGTTATTACCCGTGTCGGTCTGCCGGACTTGGTTAGCGTTCTGGTATTACATGTAGGTACTACTGCTGCGCATACTGTTTCCTATGCTGTTGTCGCGCTGCCATCTCTGACCGAGGAGAGGCGTTGCCAGATGGACTACCGGTAGGGCAAAGATAGTTGTCAATCGACTAATTATAAGGAGCTGTCTGACTGACTCTTTTCTCAGAGGATCTATTAGTTTGTGCTGAACATAATAATTTATGAACGGATAACGGCGTGGGAAGTACAAAGTCAGTCTACGTGACGCTATTTTGAAAAATTTGAAAAGCATTTGCGAATAAACGGTTTTACTACTTTAATAACTAATATCGCTTCTATTCTTTGAATTCTACATTCAGAAGATCCAATGGAAAAGATGAGAAAATGTCTACAAATCTATGGATTCAAAGGACCAAAAAGGTATATCTGGCCAATAGTCACTATACTAAAGGTGTTTATTTTGGCCGGAAGAACGGTCTATTTTTTCCAAAATCTGAAAGACACCAAACGTCTCGCAGATTTAGTTGCTACTTATCCCATACGATTCATGGTAAGTTATTTCGGAAATATTTTTACTAGGCTCTGCACCATACAAAAATACTGTGGTCCAAATATTGTGTATTGTTTATTTACCACATCTATAGAGCAAATTTTCCAAAAATTTTAGATAAAACAATAATCTGAATATATTCAAATGAACAGAACAAGGATAAGTATACTATTGTTATAACTAAATGTATTTTAGGCTGTTGTAAAGTTAATTTACCTATACGTT